GCGCGGCCCGCGACGCTGCTCTTCGTCAGGGCGAAAAGCGCGACGCGGCCTTCGCGGACCAGGAGCGCGACCGCGGCGCGGCGCGGCTCTCCCTCCTCGGCGGCCTCGCGTCCGTCGACGCCGCGTTTTTCGCATGTTGCGCGCCCGCGCGCGAGGGCGACTAGGGGCGCCCGAGCCGCGGCGCGGGGAAGCGAGCGAAGGGCGAGGGACCAGCGACGGGGGATGGATTAGCCGGGGCCTACTTGCGGCCGCCCTTGCCGTTGCCCTCCTCCTTGGACTCGTCCATCATCTCGTCCATCTGCGCGCAGATGGACAGGACCTCCTTCTTCGAGCTCTCCTCGAGCTCGCCCGCGATGAAGAGCTCGTCGAGGATGTAGTAGGCCTTGTGGAAGTTGAAGATGATGTCGAGCTCGCAGACGTTGCCGAAGTAGCGGTCCAGCACCTCGACGAAGAGGTGGATCATCTCCAACGTGATGAGCTCGTTGTCCTCGGAGTCGACGCCTGCGGGTAAAAACTTCAACTTGCTGGTAAAAAACTTCAACTTGCCCTCGGCCGTCGGCCGATCGTCGCCGCCGATGGCTCGGCGAGCGATCGTCGCTCGGAGCGCGCGCGACGCGCGCGCGCCCGTCCCGGAGGCGCGCGACCGGCGCCGCGGCGCCCGTTCGCGGCGCCGGTCGCCGCAGCAGATGAAGAAGAGGCTCGCGTAGCGCTTGTAGACGATCTTCTTGTCGGCGCGCCACTCGATGAAGTTGCACATCTTCGGCGCGCGCGCGAGCACCGTCGCCTGGCGGGGGGGGGGGGGGCTCCGGCGGCGGGGCGCTTCGCGCGCGGCGCGCGCGCGCGGCGCCGCGCGGCGCGCGCGCGGGCCTCCGGCGCCGGTCCGCGCCGTGACCTCGCGCACGATGCGCGCCTTCTCCTTCGTCGAGTAGGACTCGTACCACTTGGTGAGGCGCGTCTTGCCTTGTCGGCTCACGAGGAGCATGAAGTTGATCATCGCACCGGCGGCGCGCCCGGTCGCGGCGGCGCGGCGCGGCTCGGCGGCGCGCGGCGCGACGGGCGCGGCGGCGCGAAACGGTCCGCGGACGCTGCGGCGCTCGGCGTGCGGCGCGCGCTCGCGGCCCACACACCTCGATCACCGCGTGAGCTCGAGCGACGGCGCCGCGCCGGGGCTCCGCGCATTATTAAAATTTTATATATGTGGCTGAGGAACGTTGAAATGCAACTTTCAAGGCGGTTGAAGATTCGGAGTTAATGGCCCAGCGCGCAAGACGACATTGAGCTCTTTCAGATGCAACAAGAACCAAAGGAATCGGTGGCCATGGGGCC